TCAATGGAATCAAAGAAGGTACAGAAGACATAGAAAGTAAGTAGCCTTAAGGTAAAAAATTCATCGTACTTAGAAGTTAAAACAAAATAATTCTTCACATGCACCATATTCACCCTTCCTCAATAATAATAATTGTTTAAGGCTATGTTCACATTGTACTGGATTGCTTTTGCGCCGGCACGAAGGCCATATCGTATAGGGCATCTGTTCACACATAACAACGGTGATTTCGGCGCGATTTCTGTAACGGAGCGAAGCTGCCCCGCGTTACCTCTAAACTGGAGAGTCAAATATGGGATAAGTTTTCACACTATACTGGATAGATTTTGCGCAGACACAAAAACCATACCGGATAGGGCTTCTATTTACACATACACAAGAACGGTGATTTCGGCGCGATTTCTGTGTCGGAAGGGAGCTGATGAGCCTCGCCGATCTCTAAACTGGAGAGCGACATATCGGATAGGTGTTCACACTACATCAGACAGCTTTTCTTGGCGGTATGAAAAGCTATCCGGTATGGTGTGAACATAACCTAATCTATAGTACTCATGTCCGAGTACACGACTGTCTTACGCAGGACGCGTAGTAAGAATGACGCGTTGTCTTCAGACTTAACAGATCCCTTAGCACTTTGTTAGACGTTATAATTATGTATAAATAAACAGCAGATTCAAACAATAATAAACGTAATTTGCTTTAATTCTGTTGTATCTATCTTCAGAACGAGGGTACTATTGGCTGGTGTCTTCTTGGTCTCCGGTAAGCTTAGCCTGTTCACAGACCCTCTATTTTCTCTTCAAAGTCCGTCGAGCGCGCGTGATAAAATATAAACCGCGGGAGATTTATTGATCGCCTGCGCAAGGGGGTAGGTATGGGGGAAAATAGAAAAATAGAAGAAAATAGTTCTTTATTCTTCTTTCTCGCGCTCCGCGCTCGTTCTCGCGCGCTCGCTTCGCTTGCCGATGTTTTTGAAAAGAACGAAAAGAAAAATAAAACAACGTCTATTTACAGGCTGCGGTAAGCTTAAATATAACTAGGAAATAAGAATTCGGTATCCACACACTTGAGAGAATTGGAGTTGCATTAATCTCCCGATCTTACCCAGATATCTTGTCGACGTAGCTGAAGGCGAGATCTGGTAAGAAAAGTAAGAAAACTCGATTATTTTTCATTGGCTACTGCCTAGATGGGAAGTAATGACGTGAGTGTTGTCATATACGTACAATATGGCGTGTTTTCGCTGAAAAGATAGTTTTCTCTCGGCGTGAACTTTAAAATCCGTTTTATGCTACCATAAAAAACCTTTTAAAATTTCCTCTCGATATTAAGATAGAGACTTTTGAAAAGGTTATGGTGAAAAAATTGTCGGCGTGTTGCGCGTAGAAATGGACGCGTAGTGTTTTGAGCTTTAAGTGCGCGCCATGATAATTAAATTAAGATAACTGCCGCGTTGAATTTTATGTTATAAAACAACAGTAACAGCAACAAAAAATATGATGTTAGATAATACTTGAGTTCTGAGCATACCCATTTTGTTCGAGAAAATTTCACTGCCTTATAAAATTTGTCGCTAACACGGCTGCCATTTTGAGAATTTATTTCAAGCATGCGCTCTAACATCGTCTTTCACATTCCTGACAGGCGATCAGATTGACCAGATCTCACCTTCGGCTTCGTTGACAAGAGATCTGGGTTTGAGATTAGAGTTGAGTTTTCCAGTGATTCAACTGAAAAACAACAACAAAGCCAAAAAAGTTTTATCTAGCTTTTTTCATCTGCAGTCAGTCAATGCGCCTCCGAGAGTTAAGCTTCGATAGGTTTTCTCCACGTAGGTCCATCGTTGGCACTCTCCTGCCAAAATGTTGACGTGATTATGCCTCTCCGTTTCAAAGTTCTCTTAGCAACGTCTTTGAACCTCAATAACAAAGGCCTTCTTTGATTACACATTCTTACACAGAGCTGACAGTATGACAGCTACTCTAGTAGTCTGTTATTATCCATCCTATGCACGTGACCCAGCTATCATTTACACATTCGTAAACAGAGTTGACAGAAAAACAGCTACTTTAGTGGTCTGTTATTATCCATCCTATGCACGTGACCCCGCTATCATTTACACATTCGTAAACAGAGTTGACAGAAAAACAGCTACTTTAGTGGTCTGTTATTATCCATCCTATCCCCGTGACCTAGCCATCCAAGAATGATAGTGTCATCCATTGATTGTAGTCCTGCAAGGCAGAGATTTTCCACATTCTTTCCAGGATACGTTCCTTATCATCGTATCAAGGTTGGAGCTTCTCTTTACTTGGTACCGATATATAGTTATGATTCAACACCATACGGGAGGGAAAAATGAACAGCTCGGTAGACCTTTATCTTACACTTAACTTTAATAGACACGTACTGGTTTTTCGGTAGCCTGCAGTGACGGATTTAGGGAAGGGGCCCTGGGGGCACGGGTCCCCTTTATTCTTAGAGGCCCGAAGGGCCGAAAAAGTTTTTTTGCATAAACTACGCTCCACTTCATTAAATTAGATACAAAAAACAAACATGAAATACAATAATTTCTCTGGCTTACCATTCGAGATGCAGCTCCTGAAAGTTATCAGGTAAAGCCAGTATCGCTTCAGACTTTGCAATCCTCTTACGCATCAAGCAAGGTGAAAACGAAAACGATGCCATTCGAAATCGGATTTCCGACTTTGACAAGCGACGTTTTCTCAACCAAAAACCCAATAAACAAACTAGCCATGAGTAACAGAAGACTCCTGATAGCAGCTGAATTTCATTTTGTACATCCAGTGGAAAAAGACATTTAAAAACATCACAAGTTGACACAAAACTCTGTCAGCTTCAGCTGTTAAAGTAAACAAGATTCAAGATGCTGCATAAATTTTGCGCATGAACTCACATGTCAAATTTTGACCAATCAGAGCATAAAAATTGGACGTAGAGCGTGACCAACGCGTGACCATTGTGAGAAAAAACAAAAGCAACTGTCTTCCCTGCCTGTAACAGCTGGCTGAATTTTCACGTCCGAGGTCAGTTTGCAATCAAAATTTTAATTGTGCAGCACATAAACACAACATATTTCATATGAATTAAGAAAAAAAATTGAACTTGAGCCTGCGATCACTTGAAAACTAGTTTACTTGTCAGCGGATAACTTCAAAAATACTTGACCTCGACGGGTCGACACCTGAGCCCGCGATACGGTCAAGTGATACTGGTCAGCGGGTACTCTGTTTTGACAGCTGTCAATTGATCAAAACATTGATGTCCAATATGTGTGCATTATCAGTTTTCCTGTGCTCCCAAACTAGTAAAAGTATGAGATTGAACGTTGTTCGCGATCTAGTAAAACAGTTAACTGGTCAGCGGACAGCTTCCAAATAAATCACGTCACCTCGATGAGTTGACACATGAGCCCGCGATATGGTCATGGGATACTGGTCAGTGGCTATCCTGTTTGGACAGCTGTCAATTGACCATATTGTTAATGTCCTATATTAAAGATGTGGGCTTGCCAAGACACGCCTGAGACACCCCTCCCTTCCTTTTGATAGTCTCCCCTACCCCACCCATACAATCTGTAGACGCGTACGTACGTACGTACGTACGTACGCTCGGTCAATCACGTGACAACCAAACGAAAAGAGGTTGACCATATTCCACGGGTATGGGGCTCTGTCCCACGCGCGCTTCGCGCGCGCGGGAGCCCCGCTAATAATAACCCTTAACTGTTTTTAACACACAGTGCAAATGCCACGGCAACCAGCAGACCGGTATTCAGTCTAGAGATGTTTCATGTACCAAGACGCCATGCCACTTTATCCGTGCTCCGCGGCGCCATCAAGCTTGTCAGTGCTTTAAAGGGCGGGAAGGCGAATAAGCCAGCCGCCATGGATATAGATGCAGGAGAAGCCTAATGCTGCCTTTTACATACTGTGGTGTAACGTCAGTGGTCTCACTAATAATAATCATACAGCATATTAATTAGAACATGTTATTGTGAAGTTGTTTTCTTGAAGGATTAAAAGAAGAATGGAAAGGCAAACTTGTTTTACGTAAACGTAACAAGGCCACCGTTAAGAGAAGAGTCGAAGACGTCTTACATAACAAGCACAAGCTGCAACATTCGTCATCGAATCATCGAAGGCTTTTCTTTCAGCTAATTTGTTCTTGATTTCCATGATACCATGTTCCCAGCAATAACATAACTCCAACTTCCCGTATGTAAACCACGCACGACCCACAATCCAACCTCCATCTCCTTACCATGGCCAATCCTACCCTATCAATACAGAAGATAAAACCAAATCCTTTCATTTCACTTCCCCAGCGACGTGACACCGAGTTTCTTTCACCCTCATTCAGTGTTTTCGTTCTGTTAGTAGGCTGAACTGAAAGTGGTTTAGTGGACCCTGGACGCAGTTTTTTAAAACACCAGCTAAACTCGGTTATAAAAACCAATCCTTATGCCCCATTCACACCAAGTGAACATGTTTAAAATAATAACCGACTGAACTAAAACACAGGATTTTTCACAGAATTTTTAAAAATCAAATTTAACACTTCACGTAATTGCACCAAATTTCCCATCATAAAAAGTACAGTGAGCAGCTTTTACAAAGAACCCAATTTTAAACCGAGTTTAACTAAACAGCTTTCAATATGTTTAAGCTTTAGTGTGAATAGGGCTGCAGTCTTACAAGGTGTCATAGCGACATCACAGATCTTGAATTCTTTGTAGGAAGGGGAACGGGGAGGGGGGAGGGGGTGGGGTGGTTCATAAAATCCAACACCTCGTTGTCGTCCAAATGAAAGAAAGGAAGTCAATATTTTACATTTTAAGGATTTATTCTTATTTTATGCTAAAAGTACATACCTCTGTAAGGTTCTAACTTCTACAATCAACAAATTAATTTCAGCATCATAATGGTACAATTATAAGCATCCTAATTATCAGAAACTCTTAAACTATGAAGACTTTACCTTACCTTGTGATTTGAAAACAGCTATTAAAACTTGGCCGATACATGCGGGATTAAGTATCTTGTCTACCCTCTAAACATGAATATTGTACAAAAACTATTTAAAAAATTAAAGACTATAGTGTGTCGTCCTATTTTGCATCACTGTGGGTTTCCAATTCAAAGCAAAAGTATTGTAAAACTCTTACGTTAAAAAATAACAGTAACTACATTAAAACTGTTTCATCATAAAAATTAACATTCTATCACGACAAAGAAGGTATAGGGGCCTGACTTCTAGCAATTCACCATACCATGCCGAAACTAATTACATTAATGATAAATGCAGGCCCAGGGGAACCAGATTTTGTGGCCCTGGTAATATGACATGTTTATCGACTGAAATATCAAAAAAAAACCAAACCGAGTCACTCTTAATTACCATAGATAATATAGACTTTACTTGACTCACGCGGGAGTTTCCTCTTCAATTTCCCGCACTTTAATAAATGTTATTTGAGTTGTTCAAGACGTGACATCATCATTGAACACAAACTACAGGGAAAGGGGGGTCGCGTGTGTTGTACTGTACCAAATCATACCGTCTGATAAGACGAAAGTTTTTATATTCCCTGCAGGTTAATTTGTCAAGAGGAAAACAACATACAAAACACGCCAACTTAAGTTTTAAGCCAGTGACAGAGCAATCGATTTTCGTTTGGCCTTGAAATAATTCACGGAGAAACTAAAACAACAAACGAACAAGAATATAAGAATATCTGATTGATCTATGGAACAGTCAGACAAACGCGCCCTGTTTCGACTGAAATCATTTGCCATTTTTTACTAAACAATATAGTTCACTCGTATGTCGACAACTTGGCCTGTTCTTATAAACAACAATCAAGTTGAGTCAAGCTCATGGTTTTTCAAGATTGGAAAAAACGAAACCGGGGTATGAGCGTTTCTTTTTTAACAGCTATCGTCTTTCTTGTTTCTTACTGACTAAGCTAATTGTTGTCAATTTAAGTGCAGTCGAACTGACTTCACACCATGTATTTTCTTACAAAACAAGGCCAGTTTCCTGCTTTAAGATTTTTTAGTTTGGATAATTTTAATTACGCTAAACAGTCCAGCTATCTACAAATTAATATTTGGAGAAAAACATGTTATACGTTGGTAACCATTGGATAGAATGAAAATTCCAAATGCAAAAACATTAAATTTTTTCGAGTAACTAAACTTCATTAAATGTGAAGAGGGTCTTGTTTCCATTACTATAACATCATCTCGAGTTGCAAGTATATCAATTTAATAAAGCTGTGTATCAAAAAACCATTGCTAACACTGCAAATACCTGTAATAGTTCAGGTTAAGCGTGAAGCATGCAGACGGTAACTATAACATGATAACGTGCTTTTGCGCTACACTGACTTTATACAAAAAAATACTAATTGGTATTGGTACTGAATCTTTGTAGTATAAAAAAATACCAAACAAAATTGTAGCATTTTTTAGCATCTTATTTCTCTTTTCTTTTCTTCTTTTTTCTTTTTTGGATTGTAGGCGAAAATATTTATTTCAACACTTGTCTAATGACGATTACTTATAAATAAACTAAGAGTTAATTTTCAGATCTGTATACAACTAAAGAAACCGACAGATGCACTAGTACCTGCAACACTACTCTCCGTGCTTTGCCGGACGTGCACAAAACTAGGAAGCTAAAAGAACTATATTGTCATGAGATCAATCGACAGTATACCTTTGAAAGTTGTTCCTACAAACTTAACTTTTGTTTTCGGTCTCACGGTCTATTCTATATATACTGCCTCGCGAATCAACTGAACTGAACATGTACTTGAAGCAAAATATTAACAGAGAGCTTATCATAATTCATAGTAAGTCGGCTGATCCAGGAAGTCCGCTCATAACGAGTCTGTCGTAAAGTTCCCCAACCATCAAATAGCGGTGTTTCGCAATAAGATCAAGAACAACGTCGCACGGGTTGGTGGTTCTCTTATCAAGAAAGCGGATTTCGTTGTAAGACATACCAAAGCTCTCTGCAAGCCGTTTCCATTCTTCTCCACCTAGCAAACAAAAGTGATTTAAAAGTTTCAGATTCTGTTTTATCGGAAAGTTTATAGAAACAGTAGCGCTTGATAGGAGAGACCTACTGTCTAGAACACTGAATGATATTTTTGTGTGACGTCAGATGCGCTCTTGAAGACAACTGGCTTTTTCTTTGAAGTATGAGCTATGATTTTAATTTAAAACTTGTTGAACACTAAGATTAAAATAATTTTTATGAGGATGACATATAATATTGCATAATGGGGTGCTTAAGTAACCAAGACTACGATGGCAGCGAAATAAGTGTGACTTAAGGTGGCTCGATAGGGTTTTTCAGGATCAAACCCTCCCAAGTTTGAACATAAACTACGTCACCATTAACCGACAGATTTGGAAAAATTACCACCACAGCTGTACTAGATAAAGATGAAAATTTGTTCTGATCAGGGATACAATGACACCGGAGTTGACATGGCAACGACATGACGCCATGAATTTCTCGGCACTGGGAACTGTCCTTCCAAAATCGTTCACGAGAGCTTTTTCCTCCAATAGCCGCCCCGAAGTTTTTGAAGTTTCAGCGCAATCGGTAATAGCGGTATCGAGATATCGAGATATATTGGGATGGGTAGAAATACGGTGAAAACTGGACAACATTGATGTTTGGCCGTTATCTGTAGAAAGCGAAGACGTTTGAAATGCAATTTCTCCTCATATTAGTTTCAGTCTCTTTAAAAACGCACGTGAAAGATCAAGGAGATAGCTCAAGGCGATTGCTAGAAAGAAAGCTTTGATTAGTATGTATCGAGGAGCTCTAGTTAGCGGTTTTGTAAACATTTTGGTCTACTTTAACAAATAAGCGAATAATTTTTAAACCACTCAATAGATGTTTCTAAAATTTAAGATTCTCGAGATTAACCGTCGTTTTGATATAAATTAAGGGCTACAATTCGCTACCTTTTTGTCAGAAATTTCGTGTTTGCAAGTGAGAGCCTCTCATTATTCAAGGGTATTGTCTCCAAGTATTTTCTTTTCGTGGACAACAATACACTTGTAGCTAACATTTCTGCATAGTTCAAATTCATGGTTAGTTACTGCTGTTCACGAGCCACCTTAAAATGAATAGAGAGAAGTCGTTACGTCACGTTACCATGGTAGACGAATTTCTGGATCTCAGGACTGAAGTGGTCCCGCATCTTTTTTCGCTCAGCTAATGAGCCGAAATGGATTAATGTTGAGTTGTTATGAGAGGATCTGTTCGTGGGCGAAACCAGCCAAAAGATGGCCGTTGTCCCGACTATATACGCAAGCCTGTTTCAGCCTCTCAGTCAAAACAAACGAGCGAAAAAGGCTCCCGAAAAAGTTCAACGATCCCCGTTTTGTAATTAATTTCTTAAGGAATCTAAAGACGTTTAAAATGATAATGGAAAAATTTGTCGTGGCATGTTTAGTTCCACCAGAAAAAGGCGCATTTGAAAGTCTCCCGTCGTGGTCGCACTTTCGTAACCTTCAGTAGATAATTTTTTTTTTCAGGCTGTTTTTTGTCGCAACTGCATAAGTTGCGTCTTTAACTGCGATGGTATTCCGTGCAGTTAGTTTTCTAACCACGATTAAGTTAATTTAGATGGGCATACCTATATAAAATTTTTCTTGTTGTTGTTGTATTGGATATAATTTACTGCCAAATGATGGTGTACGGGCCCATCACAATAAAGTTCAGGATACGCAAGCAAACCTCAAAACCACAAACTAATTACTGTTGCTGTTTGCGGTTTAGTTATCTCGCGCCTTATCGGCTTATTTCTCGCAACACCATAACTTTCCATAAATATTTCTGGTGTTCACGATTTTGTCAGTTTCACAGTAATCTCTGGAACCAGTAAATAATCTTTTCACATGATATTGACAATATTGTTGAGACATAATTTTGGCATTTTGAGGACACAGGTGACAAGCTTGCAGGAAATAACAAATAAAACTTACCACACAGACTAAATGTTAGTTCCTTTCTCGTCTTAAAGGGAATGCAAAGCACATCAAGGTTCTCGTTCAATAAGGGACCTGCTTACCAAACAACATTGTGTGAATAAAACAAACTACCATAACTGCACATGCAAATCTGTGTATATACTTCTACATCTACAAAGTTCCAACATAAACTTTTTTGAAGGTCTAAAGGTGGCGAAAATGAGGTGGCTATTGTTGAAAAGAGAAGTGTTCTCTCGAGTACGTTCCTGAGAGATGCGGGAAAAATTTTACTTACTACTTAGAAGTATCTTTCCTCGTGGTAATAAAAGAAAGAAGGAATTTTACATGGTGTTTTTGTTGTGGACGTACCTGTAGTACCGGCAGGTGCTATAGTTCTCAAGTACTCAATTACGTCGATTCTGTTGTGAGATTTAGCTTCATTAGCGAGACGCCGAATCCATCTTTGCGTCCCAGGCTCTGGATTTTCCAGTTCTGCTGGAGTTAACTTCAGACACTCTTGAAATTGAACTACAATTTCCTTGGGTTCTTTCGACTGAGTCTGAATGCACTGAAGAACGTCATAGTGGAGAGCAATAGACTTCTCTAGAAATTAAAGAAACATGTTACAACAGAAAACTTCAAGTGACTGCAATAGATATTATAACTGTTAAAAAGTACAACTGATCTAAGTGTTCTTGCCTTCTCTGTAAGTTATACAGCTTCTCAGTTCTCCCACGTCACATCCCGATGCACCTTGCTGCTTGAGAAAAAAACATAATCAAAGAATTAAGAATATACAGTTTGGAAACCCTTAATTTTGTTGTTGCTTTATAGTATAATTTTTATATATTTTTTCGTTACATTAAGTTGTATTATTAGATAGTGATATCTTGCTAAAAGTGGTTAAAGTCAAAATGACGAGATCAGGTAATTTGTGTACTCTGCATGCCCTTCCTGAAATACGTTATGCTTTAATTTTGTATATTGAGGACGTAGTAGTTGCTGTAGTTTTAGTAGTACTCGAGAAGAACACACTCGTGAATTGTATAAATTGTGCATAATGTTGAATAAGACAGATACCAACCTGATCCACTGGATTCCTGCTTTCTTCAGGGACTGTAAATGAAAACCAATGTGCAAACATTTTGATGCGAATTCTGCAATCTCCACGAAAACCAGGTCGGGTGCAGTACTGAAATTTCTGAAACTCGGATTCAGACAACAAGTGAAGACACTCACAGCCACGGACATCATGAGTACGACATCTGAGAGGATCTTTCTGCGAACACACTGGACAGCAAACGCAAATTTCGTACCTCATGTGTTTTAGCCAGCTAAACTCTCTGCGCATGCACTCGAGAATGAGTCTGAGTTGCCAATGAATTGCACGACTGGTGGCTAGATTAGAATAATCATCAATGAAATCTGCCTCCATTGCTCCACAAAAGTCGCTTCCATCGTAAAGGGCGATTTCAATAGAAGAAGAATGACACATAATGATAACAGACACCCCTTGATCTGGAAGGATGTGAAACCGAGCAAAATTACTGAACAGCTGGGGTTGTATCTGGCTCTTCCACTCCTGGTTGCACCACTGGTAAAACTGGAGAACTAGCCGTGTGAACAGGCCTGGAGGCACTCGACCTAATTCAAACCTCACAAAAAGAGAAGGGATTCTCACAGAGGAAAGGAGCTCAACGAGGTCGTCTGAAGGGGGAGACATCAACATGGACGGCACCAGGTACTGTTTGTGTTCTCCGTCAGATGGCCAGGGGCAAAGCAGACTGAATCGCTCCATTAACGCGATAAGGCTCTCCCAGGTCTCTTTACTGTACATACCAATCAAAGATTTCCACTCGTGAACCAGGAGCCTTTCATCTAAGATTCCAGTCTCCTGCAGCTTGATCCAAAACTGTTCAAGGATATATTCTGTCGGCTCATAACGTTTAACACTGATTACCTTCTTGAAGATATCAATGAGCCATTGGGGATCTAAGATCACCATGTTGTTCAATTCTGGTGTTTCATTAAAATGAATCAGAACCTTTTGATCATGCAAAAAATCAAGCATGGTCCGAAATTGCTCATCATCGTCGATCGCACACTCATCTGTTGCAATTTGCTTTGCTTTATTAATGGGTATCCATTTGTACTGCTTTTCAAGTAAAGACCGGAGAATATGTTCAAACCTTAACCACTTCAATGGAACGGCCTCCTGCATCTGTGGAAGACTTTGGGCAACAGAAATTATTTCTTCCCTGAGGCGCACTACCTCAGGACACTCGTTTTGGCTTCCTGATTTCGTGTTATCGACAACAAAAACGTCCTTAAACAAATGGTTTCTATAAGGCTTCTTTTTGAGAAATCCATAGATGTCAAGCGCCAACTCTCTGGGATCCCTGTTCCTACAGTAGGGTTCATCGGCATGAGTACATACCAAAAACACTGGAGGTAATATTGTGGGTGAGGCAAGGGACACAGATATGTTCTGCCCATCAGCATGTGGACCAACCAAGGAATAAACCGATGAAAGCCAAAAGTCAAGATTGTCTAGATTTGTCTTGTTGCAGCAAATGTCTTGTTTGTTTTTGTACAGCCCTTTTCGCACAAGAATGTTAGCTTTCTGGTATGGATCACGGCTTAGATCACAAGTTAAAATATAGATGGCTCTCTCTGTCAGGAAGATTGGATGGGTAGCATAGTAAACGGACTGTCCACCAAAGTCCCAAAGAATGGAGAATAACTCGTCCTTTTCTTCATTCTTTTTCATATTTCGCAGAAGCTCTTTCACCAGCTTTGCTACACGTTCTGGGACTTCGTTTGCAAACGGAAAAGTGTACCTTTCTGTGCTTTCTTCTGCGTACTTAAGTGATGCCTCAGGCTTACTTTTGCTTGGTTCCTTTAAAAGTTGTTTCTGAGATGTTTCTTCTTTCGCATGTACCTTTTTGACATCCTTTAATGCTCCAAATACTGACCGTGCTACATGGTGCTCAAAGCAAGCCCCTGAAAAAGGTTCACTTTCTTCATCGTTGTGACCTGTTCTCCAAATTTCCCTCGAAACCTTGAAGTATTCAGGATCAGTCTCTATTCCTTCAGTGCTCTGTTCCTTTGGATTGAACTTTTCTCCTTTCAGAGACTTCTTTAGACTGGTCTTCCCTGTCCGATCCTGCCCAATTATCATAACTGGTACTCTTTTGATAAATGCTTTCCCATCCAAAAGAGCTTTATTGTAGGCTTCAACGGCCGCGGGACCTCGCGCCTGAATATCCAAGGGGGCGGCTGTAACAAGAAAGAGACATCAACTGCTTCAAAGCCAATACCATTGCAGTTTTAAAAGCCAGCTTTAAAACAGTGCTAAAAAGTGCCAACAAGAAACATGGACGGGCTGTTTTGGTTTTCTTTTCCCTGCCTGAATCATGTTGATCCAGTAGTCGAACCAGAAATTCCTTAAATCTGAATTTAAACTTGCAGCTGTTCGTATAAAGAATCTTGGTGAAAAAGCGTTTTAATCGGGCCTCGAAGCTCACAACAGCTAACAGAGGATTCGGTTGAAAACTAAACGAACTAGATAAACAATGCAGCCTAGTCCTGAAACAACAAAGCTACGTGTCATATAATGAATAAATGAATGACAAGAATTTCGAACAGCTTCAGTTTATATCGTTTGGAAATAAAAAGTAGACAGTCTGTTTCGTCTGATTTATTGCATTATTTTTCGAAGCAGTTCCTCTTAATTGAAATAGATTTTCCCGAAGAATTCCTCTAAATTAATTGACAATACATTGTTTCAAAGGAGACGTAGCAACAATATTAACGATCGTCCAAAGAAATTTAGGATTTCATCGATGCTCATTTACATAGAGGCCTGTTTTCGGATGATACTCTCCTTTATTACGGTTCTGGATGGGGGTCCAAATGTCAGTTGCGTTATTTGTCAGTTTTCAGTTAATTGGATGTTTTATAATTAACTTACAACCGAAGTTCGTTTATGAATTGACCCCTTCTGAATCTCCCACAGCAAAGAAAAAAGCACACTTAAGCCGTACTTTCTCATAATGAGATACCAAACACTTTCGTTTTGCAATGAACAAAGTGTACACACGTTTGCCTGCTCATTTTTGTTAGTTTTCAGTATTTTCATTCGCCACTCTGACCATGTACCTTCCTTGCGAAGTACACACGTAGTGTTGTCGTCCAGATCTGCTAACACTAGCATTTTGACCTCGTCCTTATTATAAGAAAGATCGGCGTGCCAGGCTGTCTCATATTCGTCTAATTATGTTGGACGTAGGGCCTCACCAACGGCCAAGTAAAACAGTCACAGAACAATCATCCACAAAGGTGTCATCTAGTTTATTTAGCTTCGCCTAACTAGAAAATGCTTATATACATAATTATAACATAGCTACAAAACTCTCCTAATCAAATTCAATAGCGCGAGCGTGCTTCATATTCCTATTGAGCACGCTGATGACGTCAATAAATTATTCGTAATTCCTCGAGTTGTTGTGAGCTTAGCAATCCTGAGTCTCTTGAGTGCATCCATAACTCGGCCGTACACGATAAAGCGTTTACCATGTGTTTTATAAGGAAATTTAAGAGGAAACGTTTGAATTTGTTAACCGATAGTAAGGAAAAGAGGTGAGTGTTGTTGTTGTTGTTGTCATCTCCGCGAGCTGTGCGGGCTATGGCGTGAGTTCATTCTTTGCAAAGTTGCTTTCTCTCAATAACAATTTTTCGGTGAATTAATAGCGGAGCTCTCGCGCGCGCAGCGGAGCACCATGAGTAAGAAAATGTGGTAAACTACCCATCCGAGAAAATTTGGTAATCACGTGACCGTACACCGACCGCCCGCCCGCCCGTCCGTCCGCACCACAGGCATACCAATGTAAAACAACTCAATCAACAGGTATGGCAACCCAAATGCAACTCAAGGTTATTTTGACGGGAAGTCGCATAGCTACTCGCGTCTTGTGAAGCAGAGACAACTAAGTAGTCAATGAATACGAAAACGGAAAGCGAAAATTGTCTCTGTATTCATGTTTTATAAAGTATTAAGCTTAGATTAATTGTCATGTCCACAAACTTGGAATGTAGAGCAAGAGAAAGACCGAGAAAAAGAGAAAGTAGGCGGCAGGCCAGCGAAGCTCAACGAGAAAAAGGGCGACAGAGATCTGGAGCGAGAGATTAAAAACAAAGGAGACATTTTTTTGTTGAAAGAACAACATGAAAATTTTGTAGCGGCGGTAACAAAATGAGAAATGCTAGCGGCCACCAATGCAAGGTGAAAATGAGCGGCAGTGAAAAAAAAGTGAACAAGAAAACGTGCGACATTTTCTCTATAAAACGTGTAGCTAAGAAGTTTCACGTTGTGGTCGTGCAAAACAAAGGCAAAGAAATGTACAAAAAAAGTGTGCTGCGCGTGCAAAGTTGCTTTTTTGCTAATTAGACCTACTGTTGTTTTTCCCCGTTCTCCGGCGTTGCCTTCACCGCTTAGCTTTAAACGATTTTATCTTTTGTTTGAGCAAACTATAAATATTATCGAGAGCTTCGTTTTTAGCTCTGCCTAAATCTATATATTAGTTTTCCGGCACCTAAATATGGATTTTACAATCATTCTAGAGTACACTTTCTCTCAGTTTCAGGATGAAAACATAAGCATAACTGTGAGGAAAAAAAATATACTCACGTAAAAATTGACGTGTAATGCTTTGAGCGCCCCCTACAATAGTAAAATTTTAAGTTAACTGATGCATTGATCGCTTTGATAATGTTATAAAACAATTAGTTCACGCTGCAGCTGTGCGTATGTTGAGATAATGAGCACTTGGGAAGTTTGGAGAGCACTCAAGAGGCTAGAGTTGCACTCGACTGCGCCTCGTGCAACTCTTACGCCTCTTTCGTGCTCTCCAAACTTCCCGCGTGCTCAATATCTCGACATACGCACGCTGACGCATGAACTAATTGTTAAATATATTAGACAGGAAGACCACTACAGCCTAGCCAATTAGAGTGGATCCCACGTTAAAAAATATATATATGAGTGAAAAGTATCGTTCAAGACAAGGTCTTTCTCTGGGGTGTGGGTGTCAAGCTACCTTAGCTAGGACAAACAAGCGATTGAACAGTGCAAAAGCTAACAAACTCCTTGGCTTTGTGCGCCGAGCTTCTGGGTACATCCAAAGCATCCAACCGCGTCTCACACTCTATCTTTCTATCGTCCGGTGCCACCTCGGCTACGCAACTTAAATATGGTCGCCACAGTCAATTGACTTACTAAAGCGAGTTGAGAATGTGCAGCGCCATGCAACAAAACTAATTTTGGAGATTTCCCTTCCGTTGCTATGTAACCTATAAGTCGCACCTCCGACTAACAAATTTGTTACCAGTCTCATACTGGCACGAATGTTTAGATCTGACCGACATCAGGTGCATGATCAACCTCCTTCCTCTACTACTTCGCCAGATCTTTTTGTACTGCTAAAATCTTTTTCCTCGTTAGTGCTGTAGTTTTGTTCATTGACATAAAGTGCTGGCGGCAGAAACATTGCCTCGTCTTTGATGGTTTCCATTGGAAAAAATAAGTCCTTTTCATTGCCTGACAGGACGATACTTGGACCCTGGAAATCTTAGACTATACCAGACCTAGTTTGTTACCTTAAACTAGACCAAACTGCTCTAAAACAACCGCTCCCTATTCTAGAGTCGTAGTTAATTATACCCAGCATTTTTCTCAATTATACCCACCTGTCGATTATCTTTACCTCGAGTGTCCGGACTTTTCGATTATCCGGACTTGTTTTTATGGTCCCGTTTTTTTTTATGAATATTAAGAAGATGTCTTGAAAAACTGAAACGATTAAAAGTTCATTAAAATCCTTCCAAAAGTGTGTTTAAAACAATTGTTATCTGGCTAAGGAAATGTCATGCTTGATTCAGCGTTGGTTATGTATAAATCTCAAGACCAATCGATCGTAAACTCAAATCACAGCGATGTTTACGCAACGAAAGCAGTCCGTTCTCTCGATAAAGGATAAGCAAACGATTATTTCACGTTTGGAGAAAGGCGAAAAAGGAACAAATTTATCACTCGAGTTTAAAATCAACAAGCAGCAGATCTCATATATACATGTCAAATAAACAAAAACGAAGACAAAAAAGATTCTGAAATTCACCAACAGCGTCGAGATGAACGAAGGATTGAAAATACATAAATACTTACAGTCCGTACATAAATTCAAGTAGGGACTAATTCATAATTACATTTGGGTTTCTTTATTCTCTATGTTTACATTATTGTCTAATCAATATTCATATTTTCGATTATCCGGACTATTTACTCAAGTCCCAACGAGTCCGGATAATCGAGGTTCAACTGTACACTGAGTTGCGTTTAAGTTTAAATTTGCCGATTTCATCATCCGGTTTCCCTAGTGGTAGACTAAAATCTTCAACCAGCTGATAGGCTTCCTGTAAAAATGATTTATTGTTCTAGACCCCATTGAATATCTGATTTCTATACCCGATACCAGACTAGAATGCTTGAAAACTATACCCTTCACAGCGGCTCATACCTATAAATTAGCCCATCTATGGCGGTATGCCCCCGGCTTGTTGGAAAGTTCCCTTGATCCTCAGAATTTGGTTGTGTTTTTTGAGGGATTCGACGCTCTTTACGGCATCGTTTATTGAACTATTTGACTTCAATGTCGCTCAAACGCCTTATGGGATTAGACACGATAAAAACTCACGATCGCCTTTATTACTACATAGGCAAACACCAGAAGCCATGATTTCCTGCGTCCTCCTTTTGCGAAAACTGTTAAGTACCAAAGAAGCTTTAGAATAAACGGTGCTCGCACATACAACACTCTACCGGGAAACATCAGACAAATAGAGACGCTCAGTGAATTTAAAAAATTAAGCTCAAACGCAATCCTGGACAAAATACCTGTACAAGTTGCCTTGACAACTTTATTAATTGTCTAGACTCTTTCATGTTTTTTTTTTGTTTTGTTTGTCTCCGGGCTTCATTTAAACTTGCTCTGCGAAATCGGATGATCCTGAATTAATATTGATTTAAATAAATAAAATGAAAATAAACTAGCTACCAAAACAAACACTTACGTATACAGCTTACGAAGGAACAATGAAAGACTGAAACATTCAGGCCGCAATTGTAATTGTCGAAGAGACACTAAGACCTTTTAAAAAGCTGTGAGAAGGTACCTTTTAAAGGAGCTACCAGAAAATGCCAATACTAAAGGAGGAGGAAGTTATCGTGTTTCGAGGATATCCTTCAGTACTAATAAAGATGCCACAACTAAAGAAAAACCTCATTCAGCAATTCCAAACTATCTATGGGCTGCTTGCCGTTAAAAAAGAAAATCCTGCTAGCAGCGCTACTGAGCATGACGAGCGTTCTTTTTCATCTACCGGCGCCAGAAAACAGGGATTAGATCCAACACATGCAAGGAGAACCACAATAAAGTAATTTGGCAACTTCAAAAAGTATAGCAACCTTAGGTTGTTTTATTTAACATACTTGCTGTATCGAATGTATTTTAAGTGAGAATGGGTTGGTTGAAGTTATTGAGGTTGTAATTAATATGATGGTCGCGCTGGTGCCCAAATGCATGATAAACCACGAAACAGTAACCCCTATCACTTATTTGTTTTGGCCAGATTTTTTTTAGCCCTACCACTTTAAAATCGTTTCCGCGACATTTATTTTTTGGCTGTACTTTGCAATGAGACAGCAGTTGGGATAGAATTGCTCTAGGGCACATAATAAAGAAGGAGTTCGAGGGGCATGCTCCCCCGAGAAATTTGAGTTAGTTTCTGAACCTGGTAGAATGTTTGCATAATTACAGATGCCGTTACTGCAAAACTTACAGCAATTTTTCGGTTGACCCCCCTTTTTACACGCCCTTCTATTTTGACTTGCCCCTCCCTTTAAAGCCATATTTTTTGACATACCATCCTTCAAATCTCACCAACTAGCTCCCAAAGAAAATCTTAACCGCAGTTTTTCTGAGTGGTCAAAATGTGTACCGATATTTACAAGTGCCAGTCAGAAACCGTACTACTGACTGCCTCTTTCTCATTGGATGCCCCTACATAACTGGTTAAACAATAACCAATCAATCGGTTATTGTTCCAGGGCATCCAAACGGTAAACAGTAACTCCAGTACGGTCGAGTGGGGAATTTTCGAGCTGCATGAATTCTTTTTCGATATCATTTTCTCCATTTCATTAGTAAATCTTCCCTTGTGCAAATATATTTTTGGACTTCGTCCCCTAATACTTTTCTGTGTCACAAACAAAAATTACAAATGGTTATATAACAGATGGATGAAAAGGACAGTTAGAAGTGGCCCCACCAAAAAGAAAGCAATGAGACAAGATAGGGACTCTGCCACCAGCAGGTTTTTCCAATGAACCAAACTGCATAAAAGTGAACTTATTAAGCGCTGACGAACCGAAGAAATAGATTCCAGCAGTAAAGAAAGTTTCTAGCGAAGTAGTGGAGGAAGAAGGTTGATCGTACGCCTGATGTCAACTTTGTGGATGACTGTTCGGTGACTGTTTTACGTGGTAGTCGGTGAGTCCGTTCACCATAATTATACGAATATGAGACAGACTCAGAAGCCAATCTCTCTGATAAAGAGGACGAGGTCGAAATGCCAATGTTAGCAGATCTGGACGACAACACTACGTCCGTACTTCGCAAGCAAGGTACATGATCAGAGTGTTCATGGCGAATGAAATTACTGGAAGCTAACAAAATTGAGCGGCCAAAATTGCGTGTTGGGTTTATTTTATTATGAAAAGCCATGGTTTTTAAACCAAGCGGGTCGTGCTAATCTCGTCATTGAGAAAGGTTCAAAATGGTCCAAAAACGAACTCGTTAGTTTGATAGTTTACATGAAATTTGGACGTCCCTCTAGACCCTCCTTCAGTGCTGTATACTATTTCCGTTCTCTTGTTCTATCAATCTGTTCCTGTTGACACAAATGTGTCAGTTTTGATTGACGGCGTGTGCCACGTGAAAAGCGTTATTTTTAGAAGTTTTATCGATACTTTGTGGTTGTTTTTAGTAAGAAACAGTTATTCCACTCGCGCTTTTTGGATATGAGATGATTATGGTCAACTCCTGTGATCACGTGTTAAAGACAAGTTTCTTAAGAGAGTGTCTCTGTAAGAGCGGTCCGGTCGATTTTCCTTGAGACACAGATTTAGCTCATTTCTTGTGTGTTGTAAGACATTCATGTACCTATACTAAAATCACAATCCGTTTGATCGGATCTCTTTATTTTTCAGAGTTTTACGGAAATTTAATTTCACTCAACAGAAGGCCTGTCGTGACACTTTTCAAGAGGTTAATTTGAGGCAACTTTGCCGGACAATTTACAACAAACTACGGGACTCAGCAAAAAAAAAAGTACCACAGCCATGTATATTAACTCTATCTTATCCATCGAGGCGACTTTCGTGAACATCACGTTTCAATCAAGCAAACAGGAAGACTTGAACGACACCTTATCAGTTCGCTTAAGTTACACACGCGAAAACCGATCAAATTCAAGGTACATTTTTGAAAAAGTGAGGCGTTCTTAACTGATCCAACTAATATAGCTAGGAAGTAGGTGCCATAGAAAAGGTAACTACGGAAAAAAACTTTGCGGCCCGACCTTCACTAAAACTTTATAACTGCGTGAACTTACGTAATTTTCGGCAATCTCCAAGTTTTGCCGCCATTTTGAGGGACGTGTCAACATGAAGCGTAGCAGATATAAATCGAACAGGTAGATCTAAAACAGTCAGAAATACATACGAAAGCATTGAAATGAACTTCACTTTCAATTCAAGGGGCAAAATTTGAAACTGTTCGTTAAACCTACCATTCCTACATCCCCATGCAACCATTTCTTCCAACAATTCAAACACTACAACTAGTGACCACTAGTGTTCGAATTTCCCTTGTCGATTCCACCGTAAGAAATAACCTGTGCCACCCAAGCTTCGACTCGAATGTGAAGTACGAATCAAACAACATAACTGCGTCATCTTCGAGGCCATATCAGGCTGGTATTTTGATTTTCTGATCGACAAGAACGGTGATCAGGAGGTGATCGCCATGTTTACCTCGTAAAGGTGACCGCTGACCTGCCGCTGAGTGAAAACAGTACGGCGCGGGGTGGAGTGGGTGGCGGACTTATCGTCATAAGATATCGAATACACGCTAAAAAAGCTTTAGGACTCTCAGTCTAAACAGTGAAGGCATGCTTCATGGTACAGACAACTTTTATTTTATTCTCATAACTTTTTCCTCTAAATTAGAACTGGTATTAATTAATAGAGTTATTTAAATATTTTTCACTGAGGTACCCATATGACCTTTTTGCTTGTCCTCAGTGGTATAAAATAAGGTGTCTTTTCTTCCAGAACCTTTTATTTATGCGTTATTGCACGGAATGAACACTATACTTAGAAGGTTTGGTCTAAATCATTTTTGCTGTTCCCAAGAATGTATGCAAAATCATT